ATCCAGGTGGAGGGTCTGCAGAGGAGCCTCTGTTGGGGGAAACGAGGAGGAGTGAGGAGCGGCGCGCTGCCGCCCCTCGACGCAAGGAAGGCAGGGCGACGCAGGCGAGGCAGAGAGGGGAGGGAGAGACCTGGGAAGACCAGACACAAGGAGGCGACGGTGCATGCCACGTAGATGTGGCAGAGAGGGGTGGCCCAGGCGGTGGTGCCAGAGAAGAGTCTGGTGCGACAGGGAGCGACACTCACAAGAGGAGGCTTCCTGACCTGATGCAGAAACCTGACCAGTAGCAGCTACCTGAGGAGGCGCAGTCGTCAGTGTGTAAAGACTCGACCCTGGTGGACGGGTAAACGTGGCCAGGTGGCGGCCGGTCAGTGAGCACGTACAGATCGCCACACGCTGTCCTCCAGGGGTAAAGGTGTCAACCCACTGGTCCTGGAGAACGACGTTTCTCATCAAGTTCGTAGAGAACGAGGGGAGGTGGAAGCCTGTCAGTGAGCCAGACGGAACCGCCGGGCACGGAAGCATAGTGGTGGACCGTGCAAGAACTGGGCCCCCTGAGGGGTCAGCCAGAGAGACTGCAACAGGTGCAGGGAGTGGTGTGAGTGCAGTACTATGACGGAAGAAGCAGCGGGAAGCACCTGAGTCAAGCGTGAAGGTGTGCAAGGCCTCAGCAGGCGCAGTACCTGAGGAAGCAGACTCGCTAGCACCTAAGGCAGCAGCCTCACTAGCACCTAGAGTAGCAACCTCTATACCGGGGTCGTGCTGTACACACAGGTGACAGTCACTCTCAGCACCACCAGGCAAAGTAGACATGGCAGAAAGGATGGCGTCATAGTCTAAAGCAAAGACAGCAACGCCCGACCTAAGCAGCTCAAGCCAGGGGGGGATCTCAGCCTCGTCGCCAAACTCTCTGCGCCAGGCGTCAGTCAAATAGGCGAAGCAGCGGGACTGTGCGTGACTAGGTGTCCCACAGGTCTCACCAGCTTGACGACCTGTGCGAATGACGTACGGCCAGCGACCCGGACTTGGAGACGGCCCACGCAGGTAAAGCCACTCACGAAGCTGCCGGGGCGTAAAGGTCGGACGCCGCCGTAGCTGCATCTGGCCACCGCCAGACACTCCGCACCAAACAGCGCCACAGTGACAGCTACTACGGCCGCCACCACTTCCATTGCTGCCACCACCGCCGTCACCACTCCCACCGGTACGACAAAGGGACGTCATGGCGGGCAAGCTAGGAGGGGCGCGACCTCTAGGGCAGTACGGAGTGAAGGCAGTAGCACGAGTAGCAGCAGCAGCAGTAAGAGTAGCTGGGCGGCGCGCGCCACAGAGCCGCCCAGAGCAGGGCGGCGTGTAGCCAGAGCAGGGCGGCGCGCGGCCACAGCAGGGCAGTAACAGGCAGCAGCAGGTAGTAGCTCCTAGGGCAAAAGCACCTGGGGCCCTTTTTTAAAAGAAATATATATATATATTTTTAAAAAATTGTATATATATTTGTTTTATTTAGGGTTAAGCAGGGCGCGGGCGCAGGGCAGGGCGCTGGCGCAAAGCAGGGCGCCAGCGCACGCAGGGCAGGGTGCTGGCGCAGGGCATGGCGCTGGCGCAGGCTGTAGCAATGTGTGACGCGAGGGGCAGCATAGGGCGACGCGACTGGCTGCCTTAGGGCGCGACGCGCGGGCTGCAGCAGAGCGCGACACGCGAGGCAGCAGCGCACAACTCGTGGGCTGCCTTAGGGCGCGACGTGCGGGCTGCAGCAGAGCGCGGCGCGCGGGGCAGCAACGCTCGACGCGCGGGCTGCCGTAGGGCGCGACGCGCAGGGCCGCAGCGCGGGCGTAGGGCAGGGCGCAGGCACAAGGCAGGGCGCTGGCGCAGGGCAGGGCGCTGGCGCAGGGCAGGGCGCTGGCGCAGGGCAGGGCGCCGGCGCAGGGCAGGGCGCTGGCGCAGGGCAGGGCGCCGGCGCAGGGCAGGGCGCTGGCGCAGGGCAGGGCGCTGGCGCAGGGGAGGGCGCTGGCGCAGGGCAGGGCGCTGGCGCAGGGCAGGGCACTGGCGCAGGGCAGGGCGCTGGCGCAGGGCAGGGCGCTGGCGCAGGGCAGGGCGCTGGCGCAGGGCAGGGCGCTGGCGCAGGGCAGGGCGCTGGCGCAGGGTGACGCCAGGCAGGGCAGGGCAGGGCGTGCGCGAGGCAGCGCAACGCGGGGCAAGGCAGGGCGTGCGCGGGGCAGCGCGACGCAGGGCAGTGGGGTAACGCGGTAACCGCAGTCGGTAGTAATTTAAGGTGGGCCCGAAATAAAACGGTCCTACGGACCTACTGCTCTGAAACCATGTCAAGATAGCAAGCAGGAATGGTTGCATTGAATGAAATGTGGGTACAAGTACTAACCCTAACTTCGGATTGTACCCCATATGGGCTACCCCTCTATAGCCTACACAGAACTAACACGTATATAGTTTCACAACAACGCCCAATGAGGCCCAACTCACTTGCTCACTTGCCTCGATCACTCGCTCACTTGCCTCGCTCACTTGCTCACTCGCTTCACTCAGTCACTCACTCACCCACTCACTCACTCACCCACCCATTCGCTCACTCGCTCACTAGCTCCGTTCACTCGCCTCGCTTACTCGCCTCAATCATTCGCTCACTCGCCTCATTCACTCGCTCACTCGGCCAACTCACTCGCTTGCTCGCCTCACTCACTTGCTCACTCGGCCAACTCACTCGCTTGCTCGCCTCACTCACTCGCTCACTTGCCTCAAGTCCGTAGCACAGGGGCCTTGTGGTCGCATGAGTTGCGTTGTTTTAGGCAAACTTGAAGTTTGGTACCTGTTGATCAGAGAGGAGTACGGGATACAACGTTCTCGGGGAAGGCATTCGGAAGGCGTCATGAGGGGCGCTGCACGGTGAGGCAAGGAGAGGCTGGAATGGCGGCCGTAGAAACAAAAGCGCCGAGGAGAAGATATTCGTGATATAGCGTGGCAACAAAAATGCGTTATACAAAATGACACAGCGAGAAGTGTCAGAAGTCCACTGGTGATCCCCGATTGATCCTAGGGAAGGGTTACAGGCTCGTTATCATGGGGGGTTATGGGCGCTCTTACCCGCTACACAAACAAGCCCTTTTATCCCAATGGTCTAGTGGTTGGGATTCTGACATGGTATCAGAGCGATGGTCTCGGGTTCGAATCCCGGTGTGTGCACTTCGGGCATCCCAGTGCGGGGGGGTGTCAGAGGTCCACTGGTGATCCCCGATTGATCCTAGGGAAGGGTTACAGGCTCGTTGTCCTGGGGGGTTATGGGCGCACTGACCCGCTACTTAACAAGCTATTTTATCCCAATGGTCTAGTGGTTGGGATTCTGACAGAAAGAAGCTATGTAAAAGAGATGGGAATTAGATCCATATATTTTGTTTGTAAGGCAAATATCCTAACCATTGGAATGCTACGCTGTAAGGGCGCGGATGGTGTTGAACCCGGGCGTTTGTTCCTCACCGCCTACTTGGATGCTTCATATGCATCGGAACCAGAGGACATGACAAGTGTTGGAGGGTTCATTTGCTGTGTTGGTGGAGGCCCAACTGCTTGGGAGAGCAAGAAGCAGGTTGATCAAGCATTGAGCTCGGTGGAGTCCGAGTACATGGCACTCTTCCGTGCCGTACGGGAGATTGTGTGGCAGCGGCGTTTGTTGGCTGAATTGGGGGAGGAGCAGCAAGGACCTACCCCACTGTACTGTGACAGCCAGGGTGCCATTGCTCTTGCTAAGAACCCTGTGTTGCATGGACTCATGAAGCACATGAGGGTGAAGTGGCATTGGACGAGGAGCATGGTAACCGCGGGTGAAGTTGAGTTGCGCTACGTGAAGACCACGGGGCAGCTGGCTGACATGATGACCAAGAGGCTGGTGGAGCAGCAGCATTGGAAGTGTTGCAAGCTGGCTGGGATGGCTCTGAACTAAGAGAGCAAGATCCTAAGGCCAACAATCCGAGGGGGGGTTTGTTGGTGCAACCCTACGGTTTGCACTCGGCTTGTTGTCCGTGTGCGTGCATGCGTGTGTGCATGGAATGGAATGAGTGTATGAAATAAATATATATTTCATGCTTATAATAGTGTGTGAATGATGGGTCATGATGTCGAGTGTGTGTGTCAAGTCAATAGCGAATTATCGCTAGTCGCATGTAACGTGGTCGTTTTGTGTGTCCCGCGTGGTTTCTATTTTGTCGTGCGCGGTTTCTATTTTGTCGCTTGTCGAACGTTCGGCGTGTCGCAGGTGTGTGCAGCAGACCCATCAAGAACTCAAGGATGAGTTTGTGATGAAGAACCCGAGCCCCTGGTGTCAACATTCAAGTGATCGCGAAGCTCGCCAAAAGGGTACACCTCAAGATATTGAAGATAGTTACATTACTTTGTGTAGTGTAACATTTCAGTTGGTGTAGGCCCTTGTGAAGGGTAGTTTCGAGACCCTTCTTGGTTGGGGACAGTGTGGCACTGTTCCACATCACTGTACCTCGGCTCTTGGGGTTTGTAGGAGCTGGGAGTCATTCCCAACTCGTAACTCTTCCTAACTCTTCCTATTGTGTGTTCTAAGACTATAGTGGCTGCCATAGTGCCGTTCGTTCAAACCGACACTGTGTCGTCAATACTTGGTGAAATCGTGCGATCTAAATTGTCTATTGTAGGCGACGTTAAGGCGCTCCAGATCCAAGTTGAATCAGGTCATTTGAATTTGTGACCAGAACGCTATGAACGTTTGAAGCCGCTGTGCAGAAATCCGACTGTGCACTCTATCTTTCGTTTTAGGCACATTGGAGCCGATTGTGACTATAACAGTGCTATCCTTGACTTATCCTCTCGAAGTAGCGCGCGGACAGCATGGATAATGCACTTTGCTCCTCCCGGGACCGCGACGCCTAACTGGACTGGGAGAAAGAAGGCCCTGATCTTGGGACCGAGGATCTGCAGCGCTGCTTTTGCGGCTACCCGTAGAATAGCTTCCCCAATGGCGATTGGCCTTACTCCACCGTGAGGCTTCTCTAGCACGATGAGACGGGATGGGAGGAGCAGGTCTCTCACGTCCTGGGGCTGGTAGGTACTTAGCAACTGGTTTACCACTTCAGCGAAAAGTATGAGCAGCTCTTCGTTGGCCAATGCAGGGTCTCGAAGATGCTCGAAACACGTGCCCGAAGGGCCTGCCCCAAACCCGTTTGGGCATTTCGCTAACACTTCGCGGAGTGTGTCCAGCGGGACGTTGAGTTCGCTCTGGGTGATGCCGGTTACCCAGGCCGGGGTTTGTATCGCTGCTGCAGGGTGTTTCGCACGCAGGGCTTCCAGCGTCGCCGGGGTGGCTTCCGCGAGTGGGCTTGTTCGCAGGGCCGACACTGCCTTTGAAATGTTTCCTTTTTTCACTAAACCTTCTGCACGCGTGCAAATTCCTTCCTCGTCAGCCTGGTGCCGTACCGGGCCTTCTGTGGCGGGAATGACCCCTGCCTCCTCGAAGAGGTCAGCCCAATCGCCACGCTGGAACTTGTGGAGGCGGGCCTCAATGCATGCCCAGCGGCTTCCTGTGACTGGCTCTTGTGCAGGTCTAAGGGTAAGTCTAGGTAGGAAGTGAAGAATCTTCCAGCCACCTGGGCAAGCGGGGAATTTCCGCAGACGGAAGAGTGTGGCCAAGAGACACAAGCAGTATCGGTCTAGGATCTGCGGTGGTAATCGTCGCACGAGGAACGGCTGCTCTCCCCTCTGGAGGATGTCCACGTTCCACTCCCCTGCCACCTGCCAAATTTCGTCCGTTTCTGCCAAGTCGGATGGTGACGGGACATCCGTATCCTCTGTGGCAGCCTCGCCAGGCTCTTCCCCATTCTGTGCGGTTGGAGCTGCTCCCTCTCCCCCCGTTCTGGCTCGGTTGTTTCTTCCTGAAACTGGCTCCTCGTCCAACGAGATTTCTTCAGACTCAGCTTCCTCCTCGCCCATAAACTCAGGGTCTGAGACTGCATTATCAGATACTGCTCGCTCCTCGTTCGCTGGTGCAATAGTAGCCACAGGTTCTGGTCGGTCGTGGCGTTCCCGCCAAGGGCCGGTTCTCGCTGGGATCTCCGTTCTGCCTAGCGGGTTGCGCCCTCTCCCCCGCCCCCCTCGAAAACCCCCGCGTGTACCCCCTGCCTGTGCCCGCGTCGTGCCAACCGCATTTGCCGCTACAGTGCCCCCATTGTTGCCTGGGGCCGCGATCCCGCCGCGTCCTGCTGGCATCCAGGGTGTACATCCGCCACGTGGCAGTCCCCAGGTTATCGCACCGATTCTCGCGGAGCGCCTCGTCCCCTGTGCAGCAGCTCCCGTTCCTGTACCCGTGCCTTCTGCTAACGTCGGGGCCGCTGTTTCCGGTGCTGCCTCAGTGGATTGGAACCTCCGCGGCCTTGGCGCCGCTGTCTGCGGATCCGCCTGCTCCGTGGGTCTCGGTGGTGGCCCCTCTCCCTGTGATGGCGGCTGACGCGCTGGCACTTGTGGCAGTTGCCCTTGCAGAAGCCAACCCATTAGGGGTCCCGGGGCGCCAGGTCCCAGCCCTGCTCCGGGCCGTCTCGGCGCTGGCTGGGCTCGAAACTTCTTCCCCCCCTTCCCGCGAGCGGCGGGGGCACTCTCGCCGTTCCCGCGACCCCGTCTATCGTTCGCCACCTGGGCGTGCCCCTGCGTGTCTGCGCCCACGGCAGCAGCAGGCGTTCCGGCGCACACAGCGGCAGCCGTCCCGACCCCCTCGGTCGGGGCTTCGTTCTGTTCCCCCGCTGCAGCAGCCATCACCGCCGCCAGCACAGCAGCCGCCACTGGCGCCGGAGACGCGGACAGCGCTGCCTCCGCGGACTGTTCCTGAGCGACAGCCAGCCTCTGGCTCTCCCCCTGCCGGAACTTCTTCATGGCCGAAGCCACTGCCAACCCAAGGAACCCAACTTCTTCGTGGCCGAAGCAGCCGGAGGAACTGAACCGTGTCTGTCGCTAAGGCGACGTATGTCTCCACTGCCAACCCAAGGAACCCAACGTAGGAAAGGCGACCCTCGTAGAGGCGATGTTTATTTTCCGAGGCCTCCCTGACTGCCCACCCCGGCGGCTTCCGCACCCTAGTGTCCGCTTCTGGAGCACCGGGTCTGTCACCGTGACGCCAGTGACCTAGGTCTCCGCTGATTCCCTCTTTTGGAATGCCAAATCCGCTCGCTTGCGGAGGACCGGGGGTGAGAACACCGATGTCTCGTGGAAAGTATTGAAACCCGCTTCCCTAGCCATTCTGAGGGCTGCGTATACCAGGGCGTTGTGTGTCCTTACCACGTCCCCTCCTTCCCCACACCGCAGCAGGTGGATCAATGTCCGAGTTATCCTTCCTGCATGGGCACTTGACCGTGACCGGCAGAGTCATCCCGAGTCGGAAGCCGAGCGCTAGCGAGAACTGACCAGGGGAAAATGTAAGGTCAGATCTCGTCGGCACTGCGTGCAGCCAATCTCCAGCTCCCACCCCTCTCAGACTAACTAGCCGGACCCCATGGCCATGGTCCTCTCTCGGCCTGTCGACCATTGTATCCGAGAGAAGCTCCCTCGCCCGAGCCGTGTTGATGTGCTTGGAGAGAAGCAGCTGCAGGTTTCCCTGTCCCTGCGGTCCCTCCCTGTAGGCTTGCAGGGCTACCTTTGCCTCCACCGGCAGCCCCTCCTCTAGCGTCACGATCACGTTCACCGCCGGCGGTGGTGGGGCCCAATCCCGCGAGAGTAAGGTCGCTGCGCGCGCTAGCAGGTCCGAATCAGGAAGGTTCATCTGTTGCAGGAGGTGGTGAGCCGCTGTCAGCGAGGCGATGTACGTTGCTGGGGCCTCGGAGATTGGGTCGATGATGCTCAACCCTCTGAGGCGGATTGGCAGGGTCGCCTGTCGCCACAGGAGGCTCTGCTCCAGTTCACTCGAGGGGATCCTGAGTTTGGCAGCCGTAAGCGCTGCGCCCAGCAGTGACTCGCTCCACGCCCGCCATTCTTCACGATCTAATGTGCAGCTCGGGGTAGTCCGGAGAAGGTACGAGGCCCTGCGTGAAATGCTGCGGCTGAGCAGGAGCAGTGCATGTTGCGGGTGTAGTTGCGCAATCAAGGGGACCGGTGCCGATGCCTTGGTGAGCGCCTGCCGAACATGGGCGGTGCAGTATGCTGGAGTGCCAATCGGTCTGCCCAGCACTTTAATACCGTCCGCGCTCATTGTTAGGCCGTGCGGCGGCGCCGTCAGTCCGTCTTCGCCCTCCCCCAGTCCCCATGCAGATGACTTCCCGATGTTGCAGCGGAGTCCACACTTCGCGAGCTCCGTAACGATGACGCCAAAGGCCTGAAATGCAATCCCACGCGGTCCCACCACGGTGATGTCGTCGGCATAGGCTATGATAGCAGCTCCAGGGTGAGTCGATGCAGCACACATTAGGATCGACTGGATTGCTGCTGCAAAAAGGAGCGGACCGAGTGGATCGCCTTGACGCACTCCTCTAGAGCTCATGATGTGGTGGTCCACCCCCATGGCCGGGTCGACCAGGAGTCGTGTTGGGGAGTCGTAGAGCGTTCATACGAGCTGTAGTAGCTGATGCAAGTCTAAAATCTGTAGCGCCGTGAAGAAGGCCTCACGCTCGACCGAGTTGAAAGCATTCTCCACGTCGAGCTGGAGGGCTACATGATCCTCGTTCCCACGAAGCAGCGCGCGGACCGTGTGTATCACGCACTCGGCACCACCTGGTATAGAGACGCCGTACTGGACGGGGAGGAAAAAATTGCGAATAGCCAGTGCCAGTTCGTGCAGTGCCGCTTTGGCAGCTACCCTAAGCAGTGACTCTCCGATCGCAATGGGCCTTACGCCGCCTCCCGGCTTCTCCAGTGCTATCAAGCGGGACGGTAGGATTAAGTCCCGTACTGCCTGGGTTTGCTCTCCGTTGAGGAGCTGGCGGATAACCTGGGTGAGGAGGAGCAGAACTTCCTCGCTGCAGTGGGCCGGGTCCTTGAGATGTTCAAAACAGGTGCCCGACGGGCCAGCACCTACCCCATTCGGACACTTCGCGAGGATTTCGCGGACGTCGTCAGGGGTCACAGACACTGACGATGCAGACGAACCAGCCCTGCTGGTAACCCAACTTGGGATTGGTGTCTCACCCACTGGGTGTTTCGATCATAACGCCGCAAGAGTAGTTGGTGTTGCTTCCACTAGCAGGGTCACTTGTAGCGCAGCCACTGCTTTGGAAATGTTCGCTTTTTTAATCAGCCCTTCTGCCCTCGCACAGAGGCCTGCGTCATCTGGTTGGTGTCTAGACGGGGCCTCGGTAACGGGTACGGCGCAGGCTTCACTGTAGAGGTCTGCAAGGTCACCGAGCCTGAAGTGGTGTAGCCTCGTCTCAATTTTGATCCATCGGTTCCCTTCCACCGGCTCTAGTAGGGGCCGAAGGGTCAGACGTGGTAGGAACTGCAGCACCGTCCAAGCTCCTAAGCAGTCAGGGTTCTTAGCTAAGCGCAAAAGAGGCGCCAGAAGGCACAGCGTGTAATTCTCCAGGATCTTCGGGGGCATTCGGCGGACTAGGAAGGGCTGGTCCATCCGCTGGAGTGGAGTAACATCCCATGCGCTGGCAAGTTGCCAGATGCTCTCGTCCTCTGCCAGCTCAGCTGGGGATTTTTCGGATGGCTGTGCTGCACCTTCCGCTGCCGCGCCTGCTCCCGTGTTGCCGGATTGTGCTACCTCTTCTCCCATGTCCCCTGCTCGCTGCATGGCGATTCTCATATACACCCAGTGATACGCCCTCCGATGCTTCTGACCCAGACGGGATAAATTCACTCCCGTTCTGTGATTCGTCAGATGCCGCTTCCTCCCCATTGGCTGGCGCAGGTAGCTGTTCGGGGCGTTCGTGACGCTCCCGCCACGTCCCTGATCGCACGATCGCAGTCTCTCCACCCAGCAGCGGGGCTCATCCCCCCCTACCAGCACCCCTTCCGCCTCTTCCCCCGCGCGACACCGCAGGGGGTCCTGTATTCCAACCGCCTCTTGCGCCGCCCTGCGCGGGTAGCGGGGCTCTGCCGGCCGGAATCCAAGGTGTTGCTGCTGCCGCCGCCGCCTGCCCCGCGGCCGTCGGCCTACCCCACACAATTCCGCGTCCGCGGGTCGCGATCCGCGTTTCACGGTGAGTTGGGGGCTGGGCTGGGGGGGGGTTGCCCCGTTGTTTGACGAGTTTGTCGTGTTGGGTCTGCCTCTGGCCTTTCTTGGCGCGTCCTGTCCGCCCTGGTTCCCTTGTTTGCCTCTGGAACAGGACGTGGAGCGGATGACGACGGAAGCCCTTGCGCTTGTGGCGACAGTACTTGCCGGAGCCAGCCCAGGAGTGGTCCCGGACGACCAGGCGTCAGAGATGCTCCAAGCCGCCGCGCTCCTGGTCAGGCGCGGAGCCGCCCAGACGTCCCGCGAGAGGCCGGAAAGGCGTCGCGGGTCTCGGGGGCCGGTGTACCACCCTCCTCCTGGGCGTGCCTCCGCGGTCCTTCAGCCCCGCAGCAGCAGGCGTTCCGACGCACGCACCGGCAGCCTCGTCCACCGCACTCTGTTCCGCGTGTTGCTCGGCACGCGCCCCAGGCCTCGTCATCATCTCCTCGGCTGCCTCCCCAGCCGCTTGGGCCAGTGGCGCCACCCTCGCCGCCTCCCCCTCCTGTCCCCACTCTGCCTCCAGTCCCCGCTCCTCCGCAGGCGACGGTGCCATCCCGGCAGTGGCAGAGGGTGGGGCTGAGTCGTCGACAGCGGCAGCGGAATTCACGGCAGCGAAGCTCAGTTCCACTCCAGTCCCCACTGCAGCCGCTTCCATCGTCGCCTCCTCCTCGTGTCGGTCTGGAGTCCTCTGCGTCTCCGTCCCCGCAAGAGATGCCGTCCCCCTGCTGCACACCACGATATGAGGACTTCCCATGGGGGTCGTTGCCACCTGCCGCCCAGGACGCTCCTCATCCACAGCCTCCGCAGCACCGTTGGGATCTGTGGGGGGAGTCCCCTCTTGTCAAGCGTGCTCTGCGCGTCGAGCAGCGCGTTGGCGGACTTGCTTGACTCTGTTGGCAATGGTCCTGGACCAGCTGCACGCCTATCAGATGCGGTTGTCGCGTCCTGGGGTTGCGCCCTTGGCAATGTCACAACGAGAGCAGGAGGAAGCTGCGGCAGCGGCGATGGAGATGCTCCGAATGTTGCCCGCGATCGGATTGGTGCTTGGCGCCCCTGGCTCCGCCCTGGGCCCGGGCCCGGCCTCGTTGAGGCGGCTCGCCCTTGCCGCTTTGCAGGCTCCGCGGGACATTGTACCAGCGGCCGCTTCCGTCCTACGCTGGATGGACGGGCGGCTTTGCTGGATCCTGGCCGAGTAGCAGATTCCCTCCCTTTGCCCGCCTTTCTGTTTCCTGGCCTGGGCTTGGGCTTCCCCATGGCGGTGTGTGCACGCCCGGGGGTGTTGTTGTTGCACTTTGTTGCTACTGTCCCATGTTGTAACTTATGCTCCTATAGCTCTTGTCGTCCTTATGTCCTTGCCACCCCTAATGCGCCCGGCGCGAGCCGGTGGGTTAGGAGAAGGAATACAGAGAACAGAATGAACAATGAGCACCACAGCTAGGTCCTAGGGCCTTTATGCTAAGCTAGGGACAGCTAGAGAGGCCAAGGACCTGATCCTAGGCCTCTCTCTCTCTCTCTCTCTCTCTCTCTCTCTCTCTCTCTCTCTCTCTCTCTCTCTCTCTCTCTCTCTCTCTCTCTCTCCTCTTGGTGCTGCTGTTCTCACTGCCCGTGCTGCTGGTGGAGGAGGAGATCAAGCTGGTTAGCAGGAAGATCCATTGGTGCTGAGAGGTATCAAATGGTGCTGAGAGCAGGGCGTCGAGGGCGTGGTGTGAGAGCAACCGTAAAAAAAATGATATGTAGCCGATGACCAGCATTGACCGGTGGGAGGCAATCCAGGTGTGTTGAGTGGTCCTGCCTTGGAACATGTAATTCGAAGCGTTGACTCGAGGAAATTATCCTTCAGAACGCAGAGAACCGGTTCGTGATTCAGGTATATTGCACAGTTTACTTACAGGTACTACGGTAACATGACTCATCTTCAGGGAAAATACGTGCATAAGTACCTAACAAAAGTACCAGCAAACAGGTACCATAATGTCTCCATGTTTTTCTGGCGCTGCTGTTAGATAAGGGGTTCAAGCTGGTCGGCAGGATAATCAAACAGTGCTGAGAGCTCTCAAATGGTGCTGAGGGCTGTCAAATGGTGCCGAGGGCAGGGCGGGCGTCGAAGGAATGGTGTGATGTGAGGGCTCAAAGAAGATCTCTCCTGCATTGAACGGTGGCAGACAATCCACGTGGGTTGAGTCGACTCTTAACACATCTAATGAGTCATGACCTCCCTTGGTTGGAATATGTAATGTGAAGTGTTGACATACTGTATCCTTCAGTGAAATCGTTTGTAGCTGAAATGCACCCCCATACACCTTCTCATACCAAGTATATACCAGTGCTACCACGGTTAGATTACAAGTAACTAGCGTACCAGCTAATAGGTAGGTACATTCAAGAACACACAACTTTTTGACCTGCTCATCTAGCAAAAGTATACGCAATTAGGTTTGCAATGGAGAACAAGAACCGAGCGCACAGAATGCCCATTGTCATCCTTCCACGTTAGGCTGCCGTACTTGAAGTTATAGAACCTCCTTGTGACCACTACCTTCACCTTGAAACTGACCCGTTGCCCCGGCGCTATGGTAAACTGTGATGGCACCACTCTCACTCTCACAGCCCCAGGGGCGTTAATCGTCACCCGGTAGGTCGATGTGGTGTCTGAGACGCTAGTCACAGTCCGCCTAGCGGTAACTTTATTCACTATGTTGACCAGCGAGATAGATGGCCGGTTTAACTCTCGTGTTCCACCTCCTCCTGTCCTTCCACAGCCCCCTGAGTCGTTCCTCACTGTGCTTCACGACCCGTTGTCCGACTACCTCCGTGCCTCCCGTCCTGTCGTCTCCCGTGTTTTGTCCGCGTTGGTCACTCACCCGACTGCACCTCTGTCGTCTGTTTCGGCACTTGTTACCACTGTCGCTGGCTTTGCCTCTTCCCACCGCCTTGACTACGCCGCTCACTTGGTGAGTGGCCCTGCTCGTTCTCCGTTCTCTGGGGGTGCTCCTGTTTTTCCCCTAGAGGTCCTCGAGGACAGGCAGTTCGAGCTTGGTTTTCTTGCGGCTGCTGTTCCTCATCTCTGCGCCATGTTGCTTGCCCCTGAGGGGGATCCAGACGCTCTTGACATCCCGATCCCTCGCACTCACGCCGAGGCGGTCTGGGGACCCTGGGCTTCGTACTGGATAGCAGCTGAGGAGGCAGAGATGGCATCTTATAGGTCCACAGGCACTTACGTCGACGCAGTCCCACCACCTGGGACGAACGTCGTCAGTGGCCGATGGCTCTACAAGGTGAAGCGGCCGCCTGGATCACCACCTGTGTTCAAGGCGCGCTATGTGGCGAGAGGCTTCAGTCAGCGAGAGGGGGTGGACTTCTTCCAGACCTTTGCTTCCACCCCGAAGATGAGTACTCTTCGGGTGTTGCTGCATATTGCAGCCAAGCGTGACTACGAGTTGCACTCCTTGGACTTCTCCACCGCGTTCCTTCAGGGGAGCCTGCACGAGCAGATCTGGCTGCGTCGCCCGCCTGGCTTCACTGGCTCTTTCCCACCTGGGACCCAGTGGCAGCTGCGTCGACCAGTCTACGGCTTGCGTCAGGCTCCACGTGAGTGGCACGACTCACTTCGCTCGACCCTTGCAGCGCTTGACTTCTTTCCGTCGTCTGCTGACCCGTCACTGTTCGTTCGCCGTGGCTCGACCCCGTTCTTTGTCCTGGTCTACGTCGACGACCTGGTGTTCGCCACTCCCGACCGACGCGCGCTGGCCTCCGTGAAGGAGGAACTGCAGAGGAGACACACTTGCACTGACCTTGGTGAACTGCAGCACTACCTTGGCCTGCAGATCACCAGGGATAGGGCAGCTCGCACCATTACGCTGACTCAGTCGCATATGGTCGAGCAGATCCTCACGCGGTTTCGCTTCCCGTTCTCCAAGGTACAGCTCACCCCTCTTGGTGTGGATCATGGGCTCACGGCTCCACCTTCGGACGAGTCATTTGAGTCAAGTGGTCCATATCCTGAGCCGGTGGGTTGTCTCATGTACCTGATGACCTGTACTCGCCCAGACCTAGCTTACCCTCTTAGCGTACTTGCGCGCTTTGTTGCGCCTGGGAGACACCGACCGTCCCACTGGTACGCTGCTAAGAGGGTGGCGAAGTATGTGGCGAGTACATCAGGAATGGGACTTGTCCTTTGAGGGAAGCAGCCAGTTACACTTACAGGTTACTCGGACTCGTCGTGGGCCGACGACGCGGAGACGCGTCGGTCTACACAGGGGTACTCCTTTAGCCTCAGGGCAGGTGCTGTTTCGTGGCGGTCGACTCGGGCGTCGTCCGTCGCCGGTTCCAGCTGTGAGGCAGAGGTGTACGCTGCGGCCATGGCCGCTCGGGAGCTTCGCTGGCTGTCTTTCCTTCTCACCGACCTTGGTGAGCGGCCTCGCTCTCCCCCAGTCTTGTTCGTCGACAACAGGTCTGCCGTCCTGTTGTGTGAGGAGCCCCGACTGGTTGGGAAGGCGAAGCACATCCAGCTTCGTTATTTCCTTCTGCGTGAGTTGCAGCAGCGTGGTCAGGTACTCGTACGACGTGTGGTCTCTGAGGCCAACACTGCAGATATCTTCACCAAGGCGTTGCCGCCTTGTGATCACCAGCGTTTCTGCACCCAGCTTGGCCTTGTGCGGGCCCGTCCTCACTTGCTTACGTAGATGCTTTGTCCTTATTGTCTTGTTTTCTTGCATCTCAATATATTTGCTATATACCTGCATGTGAACTGGCCTTGTGGCTCTTTTGCTTGCTCTCGGACTGTGTGGTGACTTTGAGCTCCACCCTGAGATTTGTCTTGTTCTTGTGGACTGGTCTTGTGACCCTTTCTTGTTCTTGTTCTTGCTGACTGGTCATGTGACCCTTGTTTGCTCTCAGACTGTGTGTGTCCTTGAGACCCACCCTGAGATATGCGTTGTCTTTCCACGGGGTTACCGTCACCTAGACTATGGGGGTGTGTCAACATATATTTTATATGTGTTGTTTAGGTTAGTCTATGTGTTACATTTCTACTTCCTTGCATGATTAGGGTTTGCTATATCTAGGGTTGTACTTCACATTTTCTATCAATTTCATTCTTATCTTAACAAGACGCACCGCTGTCCACCAGTGCCTGGAGGCGTCGCCCGTTGCAGATCACCTCGAGTAGTAGTGGTTGTTGCTGCTCCGAGTAACCGTAGATGGTCTCGCTTATAGGATCGTAGGGTACGTCGAATAGATCATCCCTCGGTCCTGCGCTCGAAGCTGCTGACTCCATATCAGTTTCCAACTGAGTAGGGTTGGAAGGATTTATCCGAGGCCGATTCAGCTTCGTCTTGGCCTGGAACCTTCCCTTAAGCCTTTGCAGCTGTGTAGGCTTCACCTGTGGGCAATGGGGAGCCTTAACACCGTGCTGCGGGGAGAGAATATTAACTCCTTGGAACGCACGACCCTTTTCAACGCTCCGGAGTGGTTTGCCCAACTTCTCAGGTACCTGAATAATGTCTGAAGGCTTTTTCTTGGCCTCGAAATCTCCCCTGAATTTTTTAAAGGCTTGAAAACCTCGAGAGGGAATATTCTTACTCTCGGGGGTGTTCGGCTGGAGTTTCCCGGTCGGTGCAGAGTCTTGTTTCGCGGAGCCTCCATTTGTCTCGGCGATTTCCCCTGTTGCCGGCCGGTTGTGGCGTTTTAATTTTGCGCCATCGTGTCCTCCTTTTTTCGCCATCGTGGATGTCGCACTGTTGTTGCCCTGCAGCT